TCTGATGTCCCCCTCTCCCAACCTTCTACCACTGCTGCCCTGCCATCCTTCAGTCTCTGCTCTCTGTACAAATCCGTGAAGACTCTGTACAAAGTCATGTACACACCGCCAGAAGCTCCACTTTAGTATTCATCCCATGTACTCTGGGATTCTGAGAGCAGATTCTGAGAGTACTAAGAAAGCCTTCTATGACTTTTTTAGCAACTAAGTGACATGTACTCCATGACTATTCAAAGTTCAATGCCTCCACTACCCCACTTTTTTACTACTCCTTGCCCTACTGCAATTTGGCTTATCTCCTCTTCTATTTCACTAGAACACCTCTCACCACAGCCACTAATTATGCCATATTCTCCGAATCCAAAGAACACCAATATCTGTTTGGATACCAGAAAGCCATTTCTAGCTTCCCCCCCTTTGCCTCCTAGTATAGAAGCTGGAAGAGTAGATTCTTCCCTCTCAGCCTCTCTTGTACATAAGGGAGACCGTGTGATCCATTTCTAGCCAATAAGATGTAAGGGGAAGTCATTTGGGGGCTTCTGGCAAACAAAGTTACTTAGAATTTGAGAGAAGAGTTTGCTGGTATTATTCTCCCTTCTTCCCACCCTGAACCATAGATGTAATGCCTAGAAATGAAGTAGTCATAATGTGGCCATTAGGTGACACATTGGAGGGCAAACAAATGCTAACAGCTCAGTATGAAGAAGATAGAAAAGGCCTAGATTAGTTCACTGGAATCATCAAAATCCAGATGTCCTGATTTGGAAGAAAAATAATCTACTTATTTAAGCCATTGGTTCTATCACTTGCTATTAATTTACATATTTGTCACTTACAGCAAGAAACATTCCTAACTAACCTAGATGCTTTTCGGTCATTAGTTATTAGTGGTCTTCTAGTTGAGCACTTCTTTTTATTTTTCCCTTGGGCCCAGATATTTTCTACACTCTCCTGGTTTTCTCCCTACTTCTCTGGTGGCTCTTTTTCAGGCTTCTCTAGGAACACCTACCTCTTCCAGGGCCCATGCTTTATATGCTGGGTTTCCTTAGTGCTCCCTATGAAGACCTCTTTTCTTTTCCTTCTATATAGCTTCAGTTGGCATCTGTAGACTAACAATAGATTTCCCCTGTCATGGGCAATGGCACCACCACTGTGCATTTAAGAATCCCAGGAATTAGCCTGGACTCTTGCACATGCTTTACTCCTTTCCCCCCAAGCCTAGTCACCAGTTCCTGTAGAGCCTATCTCCTAAATGTCCCTTGAGTCCTTCTACTTTTGTCCATATGCAATGCTATTTTTCGAGATCAGGTCACCGCCTCCTCTAACCAAGCTGACTGCCCCAGTCTCCTGACTGGTCACTTTGATCAGGTATCCACTCTTTTGCTAAAGGGACCATTCTGAAGCAATATTTGATCACATCAACAACTCCATGCTTAAAATCCTTCATCACCTTCTAGTCAAGATAGACAAACTCTTTACCCTGGCTCTATGACTTTACCCGTTACCTTCATGTCCCTCCTCTGCCCCACGCAGAATCTACACTCCAGCCACCTACACTTCTTTCAGTTACTCAGCCCTGGGAAAGCCTTCACATTCTCTCACCTCCAGGCCTTCATACATATTATCCTTACTGCTTACAACATTCTTCTCCTTCCTTTTTTTTTTTAATTTTTAAAAGATCTTATTTATTTATTTGAGGGGTAGGGGCAGAGGGAGAGAGAGAATCTCAAGCAGACTCCACACTGAGCATGGAGCCTGACTTGGGGCTCAATCCCGCAACCCTGAGATCATGACCTGAGCTGAAACCAAGAGTTGGACACTCAACCAACTGAACCACCCAGGTGCCCACCTCCTCTTTTTCTTGATATTCTTTTCATTCTTGAGATCTCGCTTTCTATGGGACGTCTTCCAGCATACTTCTTCAGCATCACTTCTCTGTGCTCCCCTATGACTCATTAATCCCCCCATCATAGGACTTACCATATTTTATACTGTAACTTGTCTAATTTGTCGGTCTTCCTCACTACATTGTAACTCCTCTGTCTCATTCCCATTTTGTCCTGAGCACCAGTGTGGGAACATCACAATTATGCGCTGAATGAATATTTACATTTTTTTCAAGCCTTCCCCATGACTCCTCCCCCTCTCATTCATTTTTGCTGTGTCCTTACTTAGGAACACTATCTAGCACACAGTAGATATTGAGTGTGGCAGACACTGTGAGTTGCCTGTCCAAAGCCACTCTTCTCTTCATCTTTACTATCACAGCTTTTCTACAGGGATACGAACGCCCAGCTAAGTACTCACTTTCCCAGCCTCCCTTATAGCCAGGTGTGCTAGGTGACACACTTCTGGCCAATGAGAAGTAACCAGAAGTCTTCTGGAGAGGGGTGAGGGAGCTATGTTTTGAAGAAAGAACTTAGGTCTGTGTTAACATCATGGACAAGGTATTGGCCTTGGGCTGCCTACCTCAAGACTTTTTATTATGTGAGAAAAGGAAACCCCTATTTAAATTTTGGTTAGGTTTTTTTATTTCATACACCAAAGCATTCCTAAATTATATACTTATGGCCTCTTCTCAGCCTTCAATCTATTTGACTTCTTATAGTTTTGGACCCTTCAATGCTTTGAAGGCTTTATTTAGATGTATGCAGGTGAGGCTTGATTCCTTATTTTATGAAATAGAACAGTAAAACAAACACATGATTTTTCCACCCACAAGGAATAATGAGCATTTTGTTAAATAAAACAGAACAACGGTAATAACCTTACATGATTCCACCAGACCTAACCATTCTCATTTTTTTACTCTTCCCCAGAAGCCATAGCTTTCATGAATTGTACGTGTATCTTTCCAGTTCTTTAAAAACATGTATATATATGTATATATATATAGTGCTTGCTTCAGCAGCACATATACTAAAAATAGTTACATGTATAAATTTATTTATGTGTAATGAAGTATTGCATGAGGTGATAAAATGATTTAATCTATAAATAAGGATGATTTCATCTCATTTTGGCTAATACTGATACGTCATTTTTTCCCTCTAATTGCATTAATTAGGATCACCAAAGCAACCTTAATTAGTAGGGATACAGCAGGCAGTCTGGCCTGAAAACCAGCTTTACTAGCAGTACTTCTCATGTTTCAGCATAAAGATGATGAATTATATAAGTCTCATCAGGTTAGGGAAGTTTCTTTTTATTCCTATTTGCTAAGGGCTTTTTTCTCCCAGTCATGAGTGGGTATTGAATTTTACTAAGCCCATTCGGTAAATACTTCATTTCAGTTATTGCACATTGTACGTTTATTTGACAATAATGGCTGTTGACAATATTTTATAAAGTTATTTCCTTATATATGTAATGCTTTGGATCATGCTTTTCAAAGTTTTTAACATTTGATGAGCATTTGTTAAAGCATTTTACATTTTAGATTGTCATCATTTGGTTGATGTGGTAATCGGTCTCCAGGACTCATTCTGGAGGAAGCCGACTGCGTGTCATGAGAGGACTCATGAAACCCTCTGTAGAGGCCCATGTGAACAGGCCACTTGTCAACCACGTGCGTGAGTGTTGTGTTGTGGGCTAAACTGTGCCCCCCCCACAAATTCATATGCTGAAGTCTTAACCCCCAGTACCTCAGGATGTGACCTTATTTGGAGGTAGGGTCTTTACAGAGGCAGTGAGGTTAAAATGAAATCATTAGGGTGATCCTTAATCCAATATAACTGATGTTCTTATAAAAAGGGGAAATTTGGATACAGAGATAGGCGCAGAGGGAAGACCATGTGGAAGAGACAGGGGGAGAAAAATGGCGTCCATAAGCCAAGGAGACAGACCTAGAATAGATCCTCAGAAGGAACCCACCCCGCTGACACCTTGATTTTGGACTTCTAGCCTCCAGAATTGTAAATCTGTAAGTTTCCCTTGTTGAAGCCACACACAGTCTGTGGCTTACACTTTGTTATAGCATCCTAGTCTCGGCTAAATTTCCCCCACCCAATCCATATGTTGACATCGTAAATATCTGAGTGTGACTGTATTTAGAGATAGACTTTAAAGAATTAATTAAGGTTCAATGAGGTCTTTAGGGTGGTTCCTAATACGATATTACTAGTGTCCTTATAAGAAGAGATTAGGATGGAGACGTGCACAGAGGGAAGATCCTGTGAGGACACCGGTAGAACAGAGCCGTCTACAAGCCATGGAGCGAGGCCGCAGAAGAAACCACCCCTGCTGAAAGCTTAATCTCTGACGACGCACCTGCCAGAACTGTGAGGAAAGCAATCTCTGTTTAGGCCACCCAGTCTGTGGTATTTTGTTACAGCAGCCCTAGCCCACCACCCAGTGAGCCACCTTCGAAGGGGGATGCTGCTGTCCCGGGCCAGCCTTCTGCTGACCGCCCCCTCCGGAGACACCTGCAGCCAGAGCTATCCAGCTGAGTTACTCCTAAATCCCTGACCCCCGGAAACGGTGAATTCGTAAATCTTTGTTCTTGTTTTAAATCACTAAGCATTGGGGTAATTTGTTTATGTGTAATAGATAACAAACAGATTCAGAAGAAATAATTAAGTTAATAATAATTCTATTTCACTGGTAAGCTTAGGAGATTAGCACATACCATTTGGAACTCAATTTGATATTAGGAGCACCATCTGATTCTGAGGTCCGTTGTTTTAAGGAAATAATAAATTCTACTCTGCACTCAACTTTAAATTCTAAAACATTTTCATACATGGCCTTCAGTTTCGGCTCCAATTTCTTATGCATAAAAAGTAGAGCACTTATATTTTTTGATGTATCAATGTAGCTGGACAAACCAGAAAACACGGAAACAATGTATGTGGGGATAAGCAGACCTCCTTTCTGGCAGTGTTTCTCCAGAATGGCATTCCCCATGAGCCAAACAAGCGCAGAATCTACACTCAACGTCTTTCTAAAGAAAGGGAAAAGAAAGATCAGAGCTTCAAACCTTGCAGTGTCGCACACCGTACCTTTTGATGGCCACCAGCTCCCCAGATTCGTTACTCTTGCCCATCAGCACACTCCCGTAAGTGCCGTCCCCCAACTGTTTCATGGTTGTGTATCGGTTCATCTTGGAAAAATAGTGCAACAGAGGTTGCTGGTTGAAATGACTTCTTTTTTGAATATAAACTTAAATGCTTCTTTATTTTTGTTTTTTTCCCCTCAGACTGTTGTTGCTACACCGGTGACAGGTTTGCCATCATTAGACGCAGGCTCTTCCCCAGGATTAGGTAGGTTCATGAGATGTAGCGATAAGGAATCTGGCAAGGAAACAGTGCTTCCATTCCTATGAACACCCTATAAACAAACAAACAAACAAACAACAAGAATAAAAAATTCTCATTGAAGAATCTCTTCAAAAAATTTACTGGTAACCTAAGCACGGGGAAGAATTATAAATACTGGTGGGCTAAACATTTGTCAGTAAGTCCTTTGTGCTATGTGGAATGGGGTTCACATATAACAGACTGATAATATTCATTTATGACTGCTTCATTTACATGGGGCTGTGCTATTTATCCCATTACATTCAGTAAATACTGGCTTAATGATCTGTAGGATTCCTTTTATACTGAATATAATCTGCATTATTCCAAATCAGACATTGGAAAATCAGACAACTATACTATATCCATTCTTTGAATCACTTTTTGCATTACATTTAATTTGGCCCATGATCCCTTATGTGAAACTCCTGGGCCAGATGTGTTTGGAATCCAGGAATCTGTACATTTTAGAAAAGTAATATGGTGGATATAGCATACATTATGTAACACCTCCCAAGCAGCATCTTTTTTTTATTTTAAAGATTTTTAAAAAATTTTATTATGTTAATCACCATACATTACATCATTAGTTTTTGATGTAGTGTTCCATGATTCATTGTTTGCGTATAACACCCAGGGCTCCATGTAGAACATGCCCTCTTTAATACCCATCACCCGGCTAACCCATCCCCCTACCCCCCTCCCCTCTAGAACCCTCAGTTTGTTTCTCAGAGTCTATAGTCTCTCATGGTTCATCTGCCCCTCCGATTTCCCCCCCTTCATTTTTCCCTTCCTGCTATCTTCTTTTTTTTTTTTAACATATAATGTATTACTTGTTTCAGAGGTACAGATCTGTGATTCAACAGTCTTACACAATTCACAGCGCTCACCATAGCACATACCCTCCCCAATGTCTATCGCCCAGCCACCCCATCCCTCCCACCCCCCCACCACTCCAGCAACCCTTAGTTTGTTTCCTGAGATTAAGAATTCCTCATGTCAGTGAGATCATATGACACATCTTTCTCTGATTGACTTATTTTGCTCAGCATAATACCCTCCAGTTCCATCCACGTCGTTGCAAATGGCAAGATCTCATTCCTTTTGATGGCTGCATAATATTCCATTGTGTATATATACCACATCTTCTTTATCCATTCATCTATCGATGGACATCTTGGCTCTTTCCACAGTTTGGATATTCTGGACATTGCTGCTATAAAGATCGGGGTACACGTACCCCTTTGGATCACTACATTTGTATCTTTGGGGTAAATACCCAGTAGTGCAATTGCTGGGTCATATGGTAGCTCTATTTTCAACTTTCTGAGGAACCTCCATACTGTTTTCCAGAGTGGTTGCACCAGCTTGCATTCCCACCAACAGTGTAGGAGGGTTCCCCTTTCTCCGCATCCCCGCCAACATCTGTCGTTTCCTGACTTGTTAATTTTAGCCATTGTGACTGGTGTGAGGTGGTATCTCATTGAGGTTTTGATTTGGATTTCCCTGATGCCGAGCGATGTTGAGCACTTTTTCATGTGTCTGTTGGCCATTTGGATGTCTTCTTTGGAAAGATGTCTGTTCATGTCTTCTGCCCGTTTCTCCCAAGCAGCATCTTAACATAGCTGCAGAAAACTGTACAGAAGTCCACTAAGTAAAAGAGATGAAGGCTACACTGGCATCACATCATTCAGGTCGTGTTACATTGCAATGTTGTATAAGTTTATTTTAAAATGTTCATTTTTCAGAGTTTTGTGAATTTTGAAACTACAGATGAGGGACTGTGGATCTGTATATATTAGAAGGGTACAGGTTTCAGCAGGTTCTGATTTTATTACTGCAGTTAAAGAAAAACAGAACAAAGTGCTGTTAGGACATTCAGTAGTTTCCTCACTTCCGTCTTAGGTCTGTTTCAAGGAACTGCTTCTCATTTCATTCTTAGATTGCTTTTAAAAATCTCTGTCATTCTGTTACAAGGCTTTATGCTGAGTTGCAGATGGTAACAAAATGCTTGGCACCATTAAAATAGTTTATTTTAAAATGCCTTTTATAATTTGATGCTTCATTCAAAGATTTCTTTCACTGTAGTACTGTTTCATTTCCACAAAATAAAATCATAGAAATTGTTTTTCTATTCTATGCAGAAATTTAGGACCCACAGGTTATGACGTGGTCATCAAAGTACCTAAGACTTCCAAAAGCAGGCTTTCAGGAGGAAGAAACAAAAGTGCAGGGAAGGACAATAAAACTATGTTTATTCCTATTACGGGAATGTATTTGTCCATAGGAAAGGTGGGAAGAGCCCTGTGGGACTTTTAAGTAACAGGGTGGGGGTGCAGTAGGGTATCATTTATTTTACTTCATATAGATAATACCCCCTTGAAAGTCATGTATGAATTAATTTAGGCTGTGCTAACTGTGGCCAGGATCTTAAAAAAGAGATCACAATAGTAGATTCCTTATCTATTTAGGTATTCTTTTTCAGCTTAAGTCTGAACAAATGGTCTTAACGGATGCCAGCAAATGATTCCCCATTTGCCTGGAAATAGAATTTTTTGTAAGTGGTATTTACATTATACATATACATGGCATTGATATATTAAGGCATTTATAGAAAGAAAGTCATCACCCCTTCTGCATGGTTCCTGACCCATACATGTATTTGCTTTTCTTAATTTTTTCCTTTATCTGCATAAGGAAATATTTTTGAAAGATCTTTTGGGTTTGTTTTTTTTAAGATTTTATTTTTAAGTCATCTCTTCATCCAACATGGGGCTTGAACTCATAACCTCATGACTCTTGAGTCGCATGCTCTTCCAACTGAGCCAGCTGGGCACCTCTGGGTTGTTTGTTTTGTACTATGTGTTATGATTAAACAAAACACAGACTAAAATGTATTTATTCTTATCATTTAGAATTTTATTAAATCGGTATTTTGCAGTTTGTTATCAACATGTTAAATTGTTTGACATTTTTCTAGCTTATCTTACTTGAGGTGACATACACCGGCCTTTTAAGGAAAAGTGCTCTCTATAGGTTTACTGATCCCTTCTGGTTAAGTAACAATATAGAGAATATATTTGTCCACAAGGCCACGGTGTTCGTCGTATCAGTAGGATTGTAATCTATAATATAATGTATCTATAATCAATCAGAGAATCAATGATGGAGTCAGTCTAGTACTTGCATTAGGTTTGAGGCTGCTTGTTTTTTGTAGGGTAGTCCCCAACTTCTAAAGAACTCATTCTTACTGGCTTTTACAATCACTGATGCAGCTAAAGGAACTACCCCGCCCCCCCCGTTTTTCCTTCAAAACCATGCAGAGTCTGCCCCACAATGAAAACTGCCCACCCTCACCTCCACTTTAAGATTCCTAACCCATTTCCTTACCCTAAAATACCAAAACGCTACTGACCAAATGGAAATTGCAAGTGGTGCTCCTTACCCCTACTAGACCCTGAAGCTGCATCTGGCTCTATACCCAGAAGGACACTAGAAAAATAACAGGCCAGAAACAGTGGAGGGAAAGAAAGTAGGAGTACAGGAGGAAGGGAGTCTAAGTAGAGCTCCCCTTATGAAAACTAATTTCTTAATTCAGAAATTCAATGGGATAATAACATCATCTTTTCTTTCATGTTAATACTAATTGAGGACAAGTGCTGAGGGCCTGATAGGCAGGAAGTAAGGTAGGCAATTCTGGAAAAGGACATATTGCTTGAGAAGGGAATGAAAGAGGGAGGCTGCCCAGGTGGGAAAAGAAATGCAGAGGTGACAGGGTCCAAGAAACAATAGTCAAAATTTTCCTTGCAGTGACTTAACCTCGAAAAGTGGAATTAATTGCCTCTTTATCTTCCACTATTAAGACCATCAACCACCACCATCACCAGTATTATTAGCACTACAGATCTTCACTCATTGATGACTTTCTGCATTGGCCTGGAAACCCAACAATTTTTGGAGTGGAAATTGTAGAAACTTTTTGCCAAGCCTAACCAACCACTTTCCAAATAAACGCTGGAAACACAATTTGTATCACGTGAGGGTGGCTACAGCATAGGGTCTACTTACATTCAGGGAAGAATGAACAGGGGACACAGCCATTTCTCAGCTTCTATCATTTAAGGGGTGGAGTGATGAAGATAATGGACATGACATAGATTTTAAAAAGTCTGATTTGTGGTTCTCAGAGAATCTGTCCAGTTTAAGCCCTACCTAACCTTTAAGTAAAAACAAGTTTATGCTATGCTCCCAAACAAAAACCTTAGAGAGGCCTCTTTTGAGACATACTAATTACAAAACAGATCGTTTTCCAGGGTTAGAAGCCAACCATTTCCTTGAAATCCTCCTTGAAAATATAAAGACAATGGCCTCATGTAAAGAGGCACAGATATCAAGGTGAAGTTTTTTATTTATTTGTTTGTTTGTTTATTTATTTATTTAAATCATTATTCCCATGTTTCTACTCACTGATGGCACATAAACAACTACTTTAACTGATGTACCACAGCAAGCTCCTAAACTAATTACTAGTCAAAAGCAATAGATGTAAGTTAAGAAGACATAGGCTGCCTACGGGTCCCCAGTTCACACACAATAATATGTCTCTACAGGTTACATTCATTCTTCTCTGTTGATCTACAGAAAACAAATTCTGCCGAATAGAGATGTATTAACATGACTTCTTATGTATGTGAATATTTCCATCTCTACAGTTGACTCTTGAACAACATGGGTTTGAACTGTACAGGTCCACTTATATGCAGATTTTTTTCTGATCAATACCATACAGTACTGTGAATGTATTTTCTTTCTGATTTTCTTAATAACATGTTCTTTTGTCTAGCTTACTTTATTGGAAGAATACAGTACATAATACATATACAAAATGTGTGTTAATTAACTGTTTA